TTTTTTTTTTACATATTAGTCCGATCTGTAATCCAGTCATGGTCAAACATAAGCAATTCTATCACAGTCGAGGTTATTAGATTCGATACGTCAAGAATAAACCAATATCAAATTAGTGAAAACTGTTAACGATTGTTTCACATGGAAAATCACTATCGATGATCGAAGATAAGATGACCGCGATGGCTTACGACTGTAATTTAACAAAGTTTTAAAGATCAAATAAGGCAAATTATGAAAAGTTTCGTTAGATTTAGAGAATTTTGTTTAGGTAGAGTGTATGTCTACTCAATATTTATAAAGGTGAAGGGGGTGAATGATGCCTACAATAAGATAAGTACGATGATATGTTTTCAAAGTTAGAATGTTACTTGCCAAATTTGAAACTCGCATGTAATTGACTATGAAATATTTTATTGAGTTAAGGTTACTTAATTACGCTACTTATGATAGTAACTTTGATCTCAATTATTTTTCTTTTTATTTTTGTAATATGATATATCGCCACGTCAGCTCGAAGAGGGCCGTAGAGCCATCATTGTCACGAGTGACAACTTTATCAATTTAAGTGGTAAATGCACGCGAAGGGAAGAGAAATTAATGCATGTCAAACACATTTGTTGCTTTCTTGGATTGCGCAATCTAAGTATAGGATCACCGGTCAAAAATAGCAGCTACAACCCTACAATCCCCATGTGTGAGCAGGCATTCATTATATAATGGGGAAAAATTGCACCATTGGTCTTCAATCTTTTAAAAATGAACTAGTTGGGCACAATAATTCTCTAATAATGAAAAATGACCAAATATTCATTAAATTACTTTTTATTCTCATAAAAATATATCTTTCTTGAATTCTTTTGGACTCCAGCCCAAATTAGGGATTGTAAAATTCTGACCTCTGATCCATCTTGAATCTTTTTATTTTTATTTTTATGTTTTCCAGTTGAAATCCTATTTTAAATTACAAATAATAACATTAAAAAAATATATAATTAAATGTTGTGGTAAATGAGATACCTTAATCTCCGTCCCACCCTGCCTGTCCTATCCTCACCCTACGTCTCGAAAAATTTTGATGGATGGAAATAGTATTTTAATACCAACCCACTTATCCAGCCCATTGTCACCCTTAGTCCAAGTCAAGATGCAAAATCTAACTTTATAAAATTGATATGGATGGATGTGTCCTATTTAAAAGAGATTTAGACCATTTACATCAGTAAGGACTAATTATGAAATTATAGTGGAAGATAAGAGACCAACTTGCTTACTTTGAAAAGTTAAAGAACAATTTGTTACGAGAAATATTGGTTAGGGACCGACATGTGTAACTTTCAATAGAGAGAATTGCAAATTATCATGCACTTCGTCTCTGCATAGCCTCTCCAATGTGATTTATTGTACATGTTGCAAGCAAAATGGGGAATGGAAAGAACGTCTCCAATTTAGCACATCCTCCATAGCTAAATAACCTCAACTTTTTCTTGTCCTGTAAATATTTTGAGAAGATATGACACACTTTTTAGTACAATTCATAATTTTGTTGAAGATCCTCTAAGAATCTTGACGTTGCAGCTGAGGCATGTGGGCATGTTTCCTATATTTAGTAAATGCAATGTGATCAGCCATGTTGCACTACAATAAATTCAAGCTTCTTAACTCTTCTATAGCCTATACGTATAAAAAAAAATTATATGCCATACTCCCCCCACCGCACCCTATTGAAACTTGGAAGTTAAGATTCTTTGATCTTAAGATTAAACTATTTGAATTAATATATTTAGGCTCTGTTTATTTCGGATTAAAATCAAATTTTAATTTAAATCAAAGTCAAACAATCAATATTAACTACATTTTTCATTGGTCCCACAACTTTTCAACCATACATTTCAAAAACTTCTATCACAATCTACTAAAAATCTAATTTTAATCCCACCAAACACCCACTAGTCTATGAATATCAGCATGATAATCAAATAAGCACTTGTATTAGTCTTGAATCTCGATCTCTTAAATTGACCCACTCAACTGTTAAATAAACTTATTTAAAAGTCTGATTAATCCTAAAGACCTTAAATGCAAGTCAAATTCAGTTTTTCATTAAGGCCTTGTTTGGGAGGGATTCTCAAAATTTTACAGTAAATCAAT